ATTGCCCCCAACCAATTCAAGTTTAAAGGTTTTCTCACACACAAGGCTTGTGTGTGATAAATGGTTTTTGTAATTTTCTAGTCAAGGAGGCTAATCATCATTGTGATTCTGTTTTCATCCGCAGAATATGTGCATTTGTAAAGTTGAGAGAACTTGTTCGTTCTGATTCCAACTTCACGCTTCAATGGCTTGTATCTGTAAGAGGAACACCTCAGTAAATTGGTTTATGACTCGAGTTGGCTTATGAACAAATTGCCCCCAACCAATTCAAGTTTAAAGGTTTTCTCACACACAAGGCTTGTGTGTGATAAATGGTTTTTGTAATTTTCTAGTCAAGGAGGCTAATCATCATTGTGATTCTGTTTTCATCCGCAGAATATGTGCATTTGTAAAGTTGAGAGAACTTGTTCGTTCTGATTCCAACTTCACGCTTCAATGGCTTGTATCTGTAAGAGGAACACCTCAGTAAATTGGTTTATGACTCGAGTTGGCTTATGAACAAATTGCTCCGATAAAATTTTACGTTCTCTCTGTCTTTCCACAGGTCCCTCTCCCAATTGAATGAGAGCAAATGTCTACCAAAAGATCACTTAAATCGCCACGGCTATGAAGTAGCTCAATGAAAACACTCTTCAAGGGCATCTAGTTTCTCAGGAATGAGGATAGTGATTTAACTTTTCAGTCAGCTTAATGAACTTGGTGTGAAGTGAGAAAACTAGTATCAGTTAAGGGAATATATTCACAAACTATTGTGAAGCATATATAGAAAGATTGCAATACATAAGCAAGCAGGCTATTCACCATGGACACTTCGAAGTCTGAACAGACATTGGATTATACTCGAAGAACAAAAGAAATAAATATTGGAAGCCAAACACCTGAAACATTCAACGAAAATATGGGAGAAGAAGATCAAACTATAAAAACTAGCTGCACTTGAGTGAGCAGATCTTTAATCACAGCGGCTAAGGGTCTGTTAGGGATTATGAGAGAGATCAGGAAGTGAAGGATGAACTTCCCATCTTTCTCCCGAACTATCCCTCCCCAGTTCTTCTGCCAGCCGAAACAAAAAAAACAAAGAGTTGGAACACAAGTTAATGATTAGCCGAATCAAACATTCAATACATTGGTGGGAAAATACAGAGTGGGGAGAAATAACACCCTCCTGCACATACTTATGTTCACTGAAATCAGGCAACCTACGTATCTCAATCATATTAGGCGTCTCAACAAAAGCCATAGTTAATTCAACCACTTTCTCGCTTTCCCTCTTTTGCCTGCCCTCAAAAGAAGATTGTTCCGATTGTATGAAATATTCCATTGGCCCCCCATTCATCACCCCATAGCAGGAAGTGCACTGCTGCAGGAACAGTGTCTTTCAGAGCCTGTAACTCATTTTCAGGTGCCAACTTGTATTTCAATCCTCGTGCAATGGAATGAATATATTACTGACCACTCTCTTTCACTAACTCACTCACTCCCTCCCTCGCACACATACAAATGAATGCGTGCACTTCCATGTGGAACTAAAAATGGTAAGCACCCAGCACCCCCTTATCAGGAAGGCTTGTGATCGTCAGTTCTACAAATGCAAAAACATTTTACTTTTAGAGTGTGTTTAATGGATATTATCGAGGAAAGAATGTATTTTAAATAGTGATATGATGGGAAATATGTGGTTAAAAAGTAAGTAAAAATTATTGATGTGATGTAAAATATTATTTTATTGAAGAATGTGTGGTTGAAAATGAGTTTTGGAAGAATGTATTTTTAAANAGTCAAGCCTCAAATCAGCAGTCATTCTGTTATGTTCAACATTTCTAATTTACTTTTTTGTTTCGTAAAATCATATACCATCGATAGGAGCTCAAGTGTCTTTGAACATAAGCTAACTATATATGTGGTGAAACTGCAGCATTTCAACTCAATGGTACCCATCCTCTCTATGCATTTGAAGGTAAATGTTAAGCAAAAGCTAGATTTGAATAATGTCAAGAATTTCCCCGTTTCTTTTAACTATAATCTGTTCATAATCTTCCGTGATTCGTATATGGATAAGAGTATCAATACTCGTGCTTCTAATGTAACTTTTGGGAACAAAACTATTTAAAAAGAGTATCTTCAATTAAAAAGTGGTTGGTGTCCAGGGACGGCAGACTAATTCTTTGATATTTGATCGCCATCATTTGAGTAACCAACCCATGGACTTAAGAGCGACCCTTTTGCATCTCAACAAACATATTGTACGTTAAAGGAAAATGGTGGAAGTTGATGATGTTAAGCCTTTCTAGTGCAAGCAAACATGGACGTGAGAAAGATTTGAGAACCCAATTTTCTGAGGAGGACATAAGAACCCTCAAAACAGAAAAAAATGGTTGCCAGCTATTGATTTGAAGATCATTTTGTTGCTCAAACACTTGCAAAAATAGCTGGTATGCAACTCTCGCGATGTATTTCTACTATGGAATGGATTCTAATTGGATTACATCAAACGTACCTAGGTCAAGTCTTTTTAGTTTGATGAGAATTTTGTCGCCAGAAACTTTAAGATGGTTAATGAAATTGCCTTAAATAGTTAAATTTCACATTAGCTTCACTTTTCCCACCAGTTTGTAGCAGCTGTTATTGGTGCGAGTTGAAAGGAGTCTTGATTGGATATTTATAATGTAAATATTGTATTGTAATTCATACTAAGAGCAAAGGCAAATCAATATCTCATTATTTTTATGTTCATTGTAAGTAAAGAGAACAACTAAGAAAGTTGTAAAATAGTGATTGATGATGAAATTTGATAAAGACGTATTAAAATGTTTTCAGTTCTATCAAGAAGGAAAGCAATAGTTGAGTTTAATTGTTCGACTATAAAGGTTTTTTATCTTCAATAGAATTTCATTATAACTTTGAATTTTAAATGATCAAAATATGTTTGCAACGGAGTATTGAAATACGCCAATTTACAATCTCCAATTCTTCTATAATTTTGTCTAATCATGTACTATGAGCTTGTATGGCGAAGCCTAAACAAAGTAAATTTACTTTTTACTCCAAATATATATTAATAATTTTTTTATTATTTTTATTTTTTTGTTAAAATAAGTAACTCATTTATTTATAAGTAAAAATAAAATTACTGATAAATGAACTTTTTATGCTTAGGCCTTAGCTGTTGGTCAGTTCACAGACTAAAGAAGTCGTGCTATTAATTTGATGGTTGGAATTTTATTGGTCAATGCAATTGAAGAATCGCGTTTTTGGGATGGCCAGCTATTACGTTTCTAGTTGGAGAATTTATTGCTTCCTTTCCTATCCCACATCGAAAACTAAGGAAACGGACCAGCGAAAAAATGCTTATAAAATGAACGGCTTGTAACCGGTTACAAGCACGCAGCCGTGCGGTGAGCACAAAGCGAACTATTCTTTCGCCTTTTACTAAAGAATACCGTGTGCTCGCCGCAATAAAGCGGCATACGCCTATTTTTGGAGGGGTCTTTCCCATTAGGGAGAGCCCCCAACCAATTCTAGTTTCAATATTTGTCTACTACTGGTTTTGCATCAGTGTTGGTTCATGTCCATTGGAGATGTTGAACATCTTCATCAATGGTGACTGCCATGGGAAAAGTCCCTTCCTTCTTGCTTGACTGTGCTGGATGGTTTCTCGTGATGGGCTTAGGTAGGTTTAAGGAGCTAGCGTTTGGATAAGTCATGTTCCTAGGTCAGTTTGCTCAGGTGGTCTTCCCTTATCCCTAATGTTCGGAGTTGTCCTGGTTCGAGTCTCAAACAAGAGTTTCTTTAATTGGAACTAGCTTCTATTGTAATAAGATTAAAGGAAAATACTCGAGAAGATCATACTAAGCTGCAATGAGAAGTCGCAAAATTTTCTTCAAGTGGCTTTAGGTTCTGTTTGGCATCACAAGAGAGATGGCGAAGTGAAGGATGAACTTTCCCCTCTTTCTCACCATCTACACTCTCCACCAATTCTTCAATTTACCAACAGAATAGAAAAGAGGGAGCTATAATACAAGAACAGATAAATTAACAATCAAACATTCAATGCAATGGTGAGAAAACAAGCGAGTGGGGACAAAATCAGAGCCTCCTGCACTTATCTCTTGGAATCGTTGGAATTAGGCACCCTACGTATCTTACTCATATTAGGTGTCTTAACAAAAGCTGTAGTGACTTCATCTACTTTCTCTGCCTTCCCTCGAAATAAGATTGTTCCAATTGTATGAGAGTATGCCATTGGCTAAAAGAATAAATTGGCCAGGCTCAAATGCATCACACTCGTGCACTGCTGCAGTCTCGTCTGCCACCGGTGCAAACATGTCTAGTTTTTCCCTTCCAATGTTACCAGGCTTTATCCAACAGAATGAACTTGGCATTTTTATTGTTTTGTGCTGCGGGAACAATGTCTTCCATGTAGCTTTTTTGGGGCTCCATCTTATATATCTTATCCTCCAGCACTCACAAATAGAAATATTACAGACCTTTCTCGTTCACTTATGCGCACAAAAATATTGAAAACGGTCCAAAGAGCAATTGGTTTGAAGATTATTTCTTCTTTCAGATATTTGAACAAACAGCTGGTATGCAACCCACAACTGGGTTACCCCAGAAAGCCTAAATCTTTGTGGAACAAATTACAGATATGTTAGTTTGAATGCCTGAAACTTACCTTTACAGAATGAAAATTCAGCTGCAGAATCCAAAGAAAAATGGACTTGAAAAAGCTGTATAGTTTATACAGAGAGAAATGCCCCTTTTTTTATTTAAAATAATTTAAAAATTTCAGGGGTTTAGTCGAAGCATAGAGGGGATGCTTTCTGTAAACCCCTCAAATAAAATAATAATAATAATAAAAAAAAAAATTAGAAAAATGTCAGCACGTATCGCTTTGTGGAATACTACTGCACTCCGTTTTTTCTTTTCTAAACCTAAAAAGTTGCATGTCCTCTGCTCCTTCAATGGCGGAAGATGAATCGAGAATCTCCGTATTCAAAACTTTTCCCGTTAAACTGAAGCTTCGACCCACTTCAAACAAAGCCACACCCACACCGGAATCAAAGTACTGGAAATCCTTCAAAATCCCTAGTGCATTGAATTTACTCCATCAAAATCTGTAATTTACCCTATAACTTCAATTGCGTTTTCCCCAATTGCTCCTCATGATTTTGCCGCCACCCATTCTGCTAATATTTCTCTCTTTTCTGGCAAAACCCTCGAGCCTAATTCTACTATTGCCTCTGACTTTAACGATTCCACTACTTCTGCAGCCTTCCGCTGCGATCAAAACATGTCTTTTTGATCTTTTGGGCCATAAGGATTATGTCCGGTGTGGTGGTGATATGTTCGCGTCAGGATCATACGACCACAAGGTAAGAATTTGGGATGTTCGGGGTTTCAAATTCGGGGTCTGTTATGGAACTAAACCATGAAAAACCTGTTGAAAGTGTGCTTTACTTGCCATCTGGGGGTTTAATTGCTGCTGCAGGTGGTAATTTTGTGAAGATATGGGATGTGATTGGAGGTGGAAAATTGTTGTATTCGATGGAGAGTCATAATAAGACTGACTTCGCTTTGTGTGGGAAAAATAGGGAAAGAAATTGGGGAGGAGGCTCAGCAGTATAGAATTTTGAGTGTTTCTTTAGATGGTTATATGAAAGTTTTCGATTATGCAAAGTTCAAGATTACTCATTCGATGAGGTTTCCAAATCCTCTTCTGTCAGTTGGATTCTCACCGGATTGTTCAACGCGGGTGATTGGGACTTCAAATGGGACTTTCTATATTGGAAGGAGGAAAGTGAACTTGGAGAGTGATGATACGGGAGATGTTGTGGAATTTGGAGCTGTAGAGGTTGAACCTGAGAGAAGGGTTTTAAGGCCTACATATTTTAGATACTTCCATCGAGGGCAAAATACAAAGCCTTTGGAAGGGGATTACTTGATTAAAAGGCCAAGAAAATTGAAGTTTGCCGAGCATGATAAGTTTTTGAAGAAGTATAGGCATAAGGAGGCACTAGTGGTAGCTTTGAGTGGAAAGAATCCGGAAAATTTGCTGGCTGTTATGGAGGAGTTAGTGGCCAGGAAGAAGTTGTTGAAATGTGTATCTAGTTTGGACAAAGAAGAGCTCAGATTGTTATTGGGGTTTCTGCAAAAATACTGCCCAATGCCTAGATATGCCGGGTTTTTGATGAGGTTGGCGGATAAGGTTGTTGAAATGCGAGCTGATGATATAAAGTCTTTTGATCAATTAAGAGGTAATATTAGAAATCTGAAGTGAGATGTTGAAGAGGAAATCAGAATACAACAGTCCATGCAAGAAATACGGGGTATAATCTTTCCAATGCTTAAGATTGCTTCAAAGAGATGAACTTTACACAGTTTCTCTCAATTATTCGGTACATTTCTGACTTCTTGTTCTCTGGGGTATCCTGGAAAATGTGAACGGCTTTGGAATTTTCTTTCGTTGGCTCCATCGTTGTTTATTTATTATCAATGTTGATCTCTTGAAGAAACGTGACCATCCTCTTGGATAAAATTTTGCCAGACTGCTTATTTTGATAATTTTTGGCTCAAAAAAAATTGTTGAAGGAAGTATTTTATAAGACGTGTGCAATATATTTTGTATATTTCTGATGGAGAACTGCAATCAGAACATTTTCCAGCATAATATTAAGAAAAGTATTGATTACCCGATGCCTGTGAAATTTAAGATAATATTGTATTTTTGCTGCATTCTATGACCATTATCTGTTAATCTGACACGTTTACCAAGACAAGAAGCTAGTGATGATCTTATGTCCATATTATCACAAGTATTGCTATATAGCACCATTGGTGCTAAAACACCACCCTATGTGGTAGCACATGGTAGGTCCAATTAAATGAGTCACATAATACTACATTTAATTGGACCGTCATTTAATACCACCTAACATGTCACGTAGAGTGGTGTTTTAGCACTAATAGTGCTAGATAGCATTATTCTATCATCATTCATATCTGAACTTCGTGTTCAAGAGCTTATGAGTTATAATGCCTTGGAGTCTAAGAGAAAAGTATCAAATTTGAAACATCAGTAGCGGGGTAAACTTGCTTAAAACATATAATTTTTGAAAATATGTAAACAATGTCATACTAACATAACAAAGCTCTGCCGTGTTGGATTTGAGTTACACAATTCATCCTCCAGACAGGACAGCAGCACATTGGTAAACGTGTTTAAAACGTACATTTTTTTAAAAAAATGTAAACAATGTCATCCTAACACAACAACGCTCTGCTGTGTTGGATTTGAGTTACATCCACCAGACAGGACAGCAGCATATTCAGGTGGTAATATGGCTTCTTAGGTCAGTTGTGTCATGAATGAGTTATGGTGGCTCGAGTTTTGGACCTTTAGCCATATTGAACAGCACTAGCACCACAGAATCGATTAGGAGTTGAAATCCTTTTGGCATAGTTTGCTCTGCCAAATGCAGGAACATCAATATAATCTGGTGACCAACGGTAACAGATGGAAATCAGAAAGTCAGTTCACAAATAGGAGTGTGATTCTATTATCCCTGTTTTTCAATCCCTATTCCCATTCTTGAATAGGACATGTCGATTGAAGAGTGCCCTGCATGATCATAAAGAGAGACAGCAGGGGCAGAATATGAGGTGAAATCGCAAGATTAAGTTGGGAGATAATAATTATATTCCAATGCAAAACTGAGTTCATTACATTGGTACCATTTTATTCAAAAAAATGGGAGTGCACTTTGTTGGTTGAGCTAATGAACTTAGCACAAAGCATAAAAGTTGAGATGGTTTGTTCTTCCTCTAACCTTTAGCTTCATGGTCGGGTTCTAATGAAATTGCACATTTGAATGCGGAAAGGATCTTTCTGTCATTAATTTGTGTATGCAAAACCTTTCATGCAGCAATGAATTTTTGTCTCAATGCTAACTATGTATTACCTCTAGAAGGGGATGTTGGCAGGTACGTGTCAGTGAAACAGGCATGCTGAATCCAATTTCCTTTTCCTTTTCCTTTTTGCCATCCTTCAGAATTTAAGTTTTCTGACCAATGAAATAGCCAGCTTGTTCACAGCTCTCAAGCCCATAAGTGTGTAACCACTGGTTTTGCCAAGAGCAATGGTTCCTACATATTCCTATTTCTCACAAATCTATCAGTTATAAAATGAGTAGCATCTAAACAGCGCGATGCGATTGAAAAGCCTAATTGTGCCACAGTATGCTGGAAACTTTTTTCAGTAGATACCTGACTTCTGATTGATTGTAACATTAGTTGAGGCTACAAGAATGTTGATTAAGTGGCAAATGTGTACCTTTTTCTGCTGCTTAAGTATATTGGCGTCCAAGTTCTGGCTGAACAAGATGCAAGCCTTGGATGCAATTCTTCGTCTTCTTAAATCTGTTGACAAAAAATCTGGAAGAGATTCAGCATGTCCCAATCTCACAAGCTTTTTCATTAGGGGAGATCCAGATTGTCACGTGATTAATTGCTTTTCTTGCCACGCTTACATACTTTCAAACCCTTAGAATTCCCATTTGATAATGCATCCAATTTCATGATACCTGAAGTACGAACAGAGGGTGTGGAAAATGCACCATCCTATTTACCAGATTGCTTTGACATTATGGATCTATCAAGGTTGACCGGAACCTGTACCTCTGTGCTTGAAGATTCATTATTATTTATTTCCAGATCATTCCAATCTCGGTATTCTGCCTTGTAGAACTTCCCAAACGGTTTCTTTCTGATAAAAACTGAAATTATTGGGAATAGAATAGAAGCCTTGCTATTCTTGCACGTTTTGTGATGAATGCCATCTATTCTCATTTTTCTCATGATCTACTATGATCAGTGGAAGCTGGTTGCTATTTGAGTGATGAGACATTTTATGACGTGCTCTATTTCATCTAGGACATGGGATTAGTTTTGAAGGCTTCTATAAGCTACAATTAGGTTAAATTTATCTTCTTGCTTCACAGGGTGGGTTGTATCTTGGATACATGAAGCGGAATCCAACTTCAAACATTTTCCTCTTACCTCAAATTTTGCACATATCTTCACGAAAGGCGAAAGCTATTCATATTCTTCTTTGCAGAGGAGCATCAGACTTCATAATCTCATTTGTCCTCTCTTCAGAACTATCAATTGAATCCTCAGCCTTTTCAAAAGAAATTACTGATGTACAGTGCCCAGTCCCCTGTGCTGCATGTGAAGAATTACTGAATTTGTCTTCTGAACATTGGCCATCTGAGTTACATCCAATAGATTCTTATAAAAACTTCTTTTGAACCTCTTTCTAGTTATCTTTTTCAGTAAATCCATCATCCTTTTATTTTACTACAGTTTTAGGAGCCATTCCATGGTTTCTAATCTTTTCATTTCCAGAATATCTATCATTTAATTCCTTCTCAGTCAGTGGTGCCTTCATCATCAGCTTCTCTTTGGACTGAAGATGGAGATTCCTGATGGAAAGATGAGGCTCCTGATTTGTCTCCTTCCCATCCAAAGATCAAGTCATCTGTCTTTCTCAGGAAAATGTACCCACTATTCTCATTTTGCTTTCCGTTCCAGTCGAAAGTCGGAGTCACCAGGTGACTTTATCCTGTTGGTCTTTTGGTCTTTCTAGTTTTAACATTTTCACACAATTTCAAATCACTGATTGACAGATAGTTATCGACAAAGTCTAAGGCCTAGCTTGTGAGAATTCTGCTGGTTCTCGGGATTCAACGTAGTTAGACCTTGCACACCCACGTTTAGTCTAAAGATTTATCTGATGCCTACTTTTCCTCATTAAGCACATTTTCAGACAAACTTCCCCTCACCACATTCCTTAACTCTTGGTCGTGACTCTTTTCCAATCGTCATAATTGATTTTCGATTTGCCGATAGTATATTGTTCGAAATAAAATATTGTCCTGATACTCAGTATCAGTGTCAAGAGAAGTATCCCATCATCACATCGTGTTCTTCTAGTTGAATCAATGGACCGAAATGAATGTGCAGAGACTCTTCTGCCCAGCATAAAATCGTTCTACATACTAGAAAGTAGCCATGATAATACTAATAATAATTATTTGGAAAGAAATTGATTTCTAATTTAGTTTTAAATACTTTTATAAAATAAATTCGAAGGCAATGATGTGAAGGGCATTTGGTCTAGTGGTATGATTCTCGCTTAGGGTGCGAGAGGTCCCGAGTTCAATTCTCGGAATGCCCCATATTTCTCATTTTTGCTTTCAAACTTTATTTTTTATTTTTATACAAAGGGATCTTACAAGAAAAGGAAAAATTGAAGAAAAGTAAATTGAATGTTATTATATCAATTTTGTTCTATCCACTTTTTAGGTCTGATGGATTTGACAAAAAGAGAAAAAAAAATAAAAGCAGATAAAAAGATCCAAAAAGGTGAAAAACAAAAGGGAAGGTAATGAACTAATGATAGAACAAATACAAAAAAAAAAAGGGGCATTCCGAGAATCGAACTCGGGACCTCTCGCACCCAAAGCGAGAATCATACCACTAGACCAAATGCCCTATAGTTGATTATTTTGTTCCTTGGAGCTTGTAATTTCTTGCCTTTTCTGTATAAAAACTGTTCCTATACCACTAGACCAAATGCCCGCTTATCTCCTGAGTTATTAAAATATAGTTATATTAATTATAATAGGTTGAAATAGCCAAGTTTTTCTGTTAATTCTATAATCTTATTAATGTGATGCTTATTTGTAGAGAAATAATCTACTAAACAATAATGACATGATATATCAATTAATTGGTAATTATGTTCATAATATATTTTACAAATTAAATGATTCATCGATTAATTAATGTGTCATAATCACTATTGCTTAACATAAGTTAAGTAATGGTACTTAGTAGATAATTTTTATTCATTTGTCTACACATTAATTTTTAGGAATAATGAATAATATGCTTATATATGTTTGGCTACACTCAATTTTATGCAAAATATTTTCCAACCACAACTCACTCCAAATATTGAGTTTCAATGCAGATTTACTTTTTGATAAGTAATAAATAAGAATTGTTTTATAAGAATACACTTTTTACCTTAGTTTTTAAGTATAAAGGGTGTAAACTATAAACACATAATCATTATCCGCAATACCTACAAAATTTAGTATTTTGTTTTAGTTGAGTTAGATACGAGGTCCATCATTATTGTATCGAACAATTGCTTCTTAATATCCAAATGTTGAGATGACAAGTGAATTCCTTGAGCGATCCTGGAAATACATTCTTAGCAAACCACCCAAAGCTGGATCATAGAACAGTTTTTTTCTTGCCTTCAGACTCCAGTTGTGGTTGTTTGCGAATCATAGTATGAACAAACAAGAACTTAATGAAAGAGTCGAACCATCAAGAGTTTGAGAACGCACAACTAGCTCCTAAGCCATATTACCGTATTTGAAACGAACACGACCAAACTTTTTTCATTTCTTCGATTCAGCATGGAGTGAAAATAAATATACATCTCGAATTTCAAGTTGTTTTGGCCGATGTGCGCAAGGATTGGGTGGGATGATTATGTAAATTCCCCTGAACTGTATGTAGGATGAGTTTCTACTTCATATAGCTCAGCCCTACGAAGGGGAAGCTTTGACTGTTAAGAGTAGGTAACTTGTTCCCGGCTTGTATATACTATAAGCTTTGTCTCCAATTTATGGAAACGTGTTAGGTACTATATCAGATAGGTCGTCAAACGAGAAGGAAGGCTCCCAAGGGACCTGTATCATCTGCTCTTTATGGAAACGCTATCTCAGCTCCCAGCAGGAGGCCTTCTGTGTCCTTATCCCTGAAGAAATGATTCATTGAAGACCGAGTAACCAAAGGGATCTGTACCATCGTAAACTTTGCATCTGTGACATGAATCCTAATAGACATTTTGTTTTATTATATGGAGAAGACAAAGTTATTGATTTTTGTTTCTGTTGCCGGATGTGACTGCAACAATTTACTTTTTCGTGTTGCCGATGACAGAAAGAATCACTCAAGTATTACAGATTATTACTTCCAGTTTTCTCTACCATTTCTAGCTCTTGTTTTTAGGGTAGAATTGATGGAAATTTCGTAACACGTCGTTTTTAGGATCGTGAAGGCACCACAGGTCACTGCCATGCGAGAAGGAGCGATCTGTGAACCCAATCAAGGGTATGTTTTTGTCATGTTAAAAGGACAAAGAAGCACAGAAGAAATCATGCTTCCATATACTGTGATATTTATGTCTTATCAATATATTGCATTGCACGACGAACGTCAAGGATTAGGCAATTTTCGTATAGAATAGATCGCTATAATCTATTCTGAGGGATAAAAGATGTACTTCTGGCTCCATATTCTACTATCCAAACTATATAATTGAATAAATCGTCCCAAGTACTACAATCAAGTCCTCTTCGTTTCAATTCACAGTTCAGATTAGATATATCAAAATTGCTCTAATACGATCTTGCGCATGAAGTCCTCCGGTGCTGGGAAAACGTAGAATCGAAAAATTATCAAAACTACACTGTCAAATTGACACAACGAAAGATTTTGCAAGGATAAAATAATCTCAGTGAGAGAGAGAAGATAGTACCTAATCCACCAGTGAATAACTTAAATTGGCCTGCAGCCTGCCTGATGAACATCTCAACACCACTCACCACTACAGCCCCAACCTCTGCAGCCTCTTGCAATAGTCGAGTGTTTCGAGGTGTGTAAACCGCGTCAAAAACCAACTCATATGATTTCAAGGCCACCTAAAGGAAATAAAGGTGAAAGATATACTTACTTCCCAATATATATCAAACCGGCACATGTCTCTTCCTCCTAGGTGAGGTGTTAATGTGATGTCGAAGACTCAATTTAAAATGTAAATGTGTCCTCGTGTAACAGCTCAATCTTTTAGATGAGTGTTTATTTCAACATTGGCAACAGAGTAGAGAAATGTCTAAAGATCACAACTCGCGGAAACCCATTTTTGAAAATCGTACACATGTTAGACACTAGATAAAAAAAGGGGGAAAAAAATATTTGCTGGGGGCATGTTGAGAACTAAATGATAATAAATAAATGTGTCCTCTAAACGTTTAAGATTTTAGATTTGGTAGTTTAACAAGTGATTTGTGGATGGAAGGCACGAGAAAGAACCTTAGGAACAGGAGTTTGATCTACATTAGGCTCCATACCCACAGCTGAAGCATTTATAAGAATCATTCCCATCTCAGGGCAGAATTCTTTTAAACGTTCGTATGGAAGAGCTTCACCTGATACTGCCTTGGCAAGTGCTTTTGCTCTCTCTTTTGGAAGGAGGAAATGGAAGAAAATCACAGTCAAGTATTTTTGAAAAAAAAAAATTTAATAATAAAAAAAAATATAAAAACCTTTGATGCAGCCTTTATTTGAGATCTGAGATAGTATTTTACCAAAACTGCGGTTGAAAATGACGAGTCTTGCCCCTCTGCTCTTGACACCAAATGCGATTGCTCGTCCAGCACCACCGGCTCCAACCAAGACAATCAATTTCCCAACAATTGGCGAAACATGTGATTCTTGTCCATTTGCAACTTGTCGTTCTGTTTTCTCAATGTTCAATATCAGCCATTGACCTTATGCTTAGGATGTCTCAGTGTGAAAGAAAATGAAATGAAAAAATCATCATACATTAAAATTCTTATCCAATCCAGGATATCAAACACATCTACACACAAGCCATCAATGCTATAAAAAGGAAAAAAAAACTGTTTATTACAATAAGACGTCCTTTATGTGCACGTATTTTCATTTATAATTATTCTTCATAGTATGGAAAATAGGTCATTTTACCTCTAAATGCATCTTCAATAGCAGTTATGCAAGCCTCACAATCTGTATTGTAACCAACCAACTTCCCATCAGCAGGCCTTCGAACAATAGTGTTCACCGCTCCTAAGGGCTGCTCAAGAAAGCTAAAGAAACACGTGTTAGAAAAGAGTACCAATTATGAAGCAGAACTAGCAGTTATGCAAGCCTCTCAATCTGTATAGTAACCAACCAACTTCCCATCAGCAGGCCTTCGAACAATAGTGTTCTCCGCTCCTATGGACTGATCAAGAAAGCAAAAGAAACACGTGTTAGAAAAGAGTACCAATTATGTAGCAGAACTTTGATTCCTGAATTTCTTGAGACGTCATTATAATGCCGCCAGTATCTTTTATTAGTGACTTGTTAAAGTGCACCCCTCTCTACAACCGGCTCCTAACTCCTCCAGGACTTTATTTCTTAGTCTAGTGGTGCAAACCGCAAT